TACATGGGTTTTTTAATACTTAACCTTTTGTTTCAAAACATGATTTTTGCGATAAAATAATATGTTATCCACTTTAAATGTTGGTGTTGTGTTCAAAACCAATTTTTTTTTTGAGACGTTGATTAATTTTTCTATTTTGGTGTCTATTTACTATTTTCCATAGTTTTTTACTTTTTTTATACTTAAACTTTTGTTTCAAAACATGATTTTTGCAATGAAAATATGTTATCCACATCAAATGTTGGTGTTGTATTTGAAACCAAGTTTTTTCGGAGGCGCTAATTAATTTTTCTATTTTGGTCTCCAATTACTCTTTTACATGACTTTTTTTTTAATGCATAAACTTTTAGTTCAAGACGTGATTTTTGGATGAAAATACAATATCCACATCAAATATTGGTGTTGTATTCAAACCAAGTTTTTTCAAAGACTTTGATTAATTTCATTGTCTCTAATTACAATATTTCATGTCTTTTTTCAACACTTAAACTTTTGTTTCGAAACATGATTTTTGCAATGAAAATATGTTATCCACATCAAATGTTGGTGTCGTGCTTGACCCCATCGCAACCATCATGGAAAGCACTTATTCAATGGTATGATCCCATCTATTTGAAAGATAGGGCTATATAAGATCCAACATTTGATGTTGTTGACTCCATCAATGAATATATGTCATCTTTGAATCAATCGGAGGGTAATACTTATTTAAGTTCTGATACAACATGCAAATCCGATGGTGGTGTTGATTTCTTCCATGACTTGCACACGCTGGAGTTCTTAAATAGTATAAAATGTTCTGGTGTTCTAAATCATGAATTGCACTTAAATGTTGAGTCTCTTGTCATGTTTTTGAGAAACATTGATAGTTCGATTCGACTGTGTAATGGAACACGCTTGGTGATAACGAAGCTTTCCACCTACGTGTTCCAATGTAAGATTCTAATATGATCAAATGCTAGACATAAGGTATTGGTACCAAGAATTTCCGTAACTCCATCTGATCTCAGGATACCCTTCAAGTTCCAACGAAGAAAATTTAATCTTATGTTTTCTTACGCAATGACAATCAACAAGAGTCAAGAGCAGTCATTATCCCATGTCGAACTTTACTTGAAAAGACCCGTGTTCAGTCATGGTCAATTATACGTTGATGTGTCTCGAGTCACTAATCCACATGGATTGAAGATATTAATATGTGGGGACGATAATAGGGAAAAGAAAACTAATAAGTTTTCCACAATTTGTAATACCCTACAATATTGTATTTTACTATCTATTCAATAATAATGTTTTTTATTTGTCATTTACTTTTTATTATATATATATTAATGTATTTATTAAAACATTTTAATAAATATGTTCCGTGCATCGCACGGGTGAAGATACTAGTTTTGGGTATAATTTAACAGTTGGAATTATCGAGATTTTTCCTTTTTTCCCCCTAAAGAGCACAACTCTACCATGAAATTGGGAAGGGATTCAGATTCTCCTTCTCCAAAATCAAATGCCAACCAACCAACAATACTTGCATTGCATCATACGAGAATTCAAAAATACACGAATAAGAAAAGAAAAAAAAAAAAAAAAAAAAAAAAAAAAAAAAAAAAAAAAAAAAGTCATATATGAGTATAATTGGCAAATGGCAAGCAAGAACACAGTAAAAATGAGATGCTAAAAATTACACTTAGATGTTTATTTATTCCTATTCCATACTCGACATGGACACGCCGTATTTGTACTTAAGGTAAGCTTTAATGAAAGGGTCCAACTCCCCATCCATTACAGAAACAATATCCGAGGTTTCATGTCCCGTCCTCACATCTTTCACTAATTTGTACGGATGGAATACATAGTTTCGTATTTGTTGGCCCCACTCAGCCTTCACTGCATCTCCTTTAATCTGCTTGATCTCTGATGCTCTTTGCTCCTCTGCTATAACTAACAGCTTCGCTTTCAGCCTGCTCATAGCTTTGATCTTGTTCGCCAGCTGGCTTCTCTCTTCTGAAAAATACCAAACGATTCGAGAGTTTTATCCATAAATTTGTTTTGTTATAGTGCTACTGAAAATATTGCAAGATTGTAAAAAAAAAAAATGATGCTTGTAAGAATTCACAAGACAATAAATTGTACGAGGTTTTTAACCTGTGCACCGTAAAGTGACTCCTGTGGGAATGTGAGTGATGCGAACTGCAGTCTCGACTTTATTGACATTTTGTCCGCCTTTTCCTCCTGCCCGTGAGAAGCTTATTTCCAAGTCTTCTTCTGGTATTTCTACATCCAAAGAATCATCCGGAAGAAGAGGCATGACTTCAACACCAGAGAAACTAGTCTGCAAGATATATCATCAAGGCTTTTCATTCTAGTTTTGATGCATTTGAAGATTATCCATTGTATACAAATATATCGAGATAAATAGTAATATTTCTGAAAGAAGTGGGCTTCTGAAAATTTTGGCTACAAGAGAGTCAAACCTCAAGGTGTTTTTTTTATTTTTTTATTTTTTTATTTTTTTTTATTTTAAACAACTTTTGAGTTCTTTCTTCATAGTTGACCCAATCATCAGGGAGATTTTTGTAACTTTGCATACTACAATGGGTTTCAAATCCTCAAACTTGTATTATCTTTCCCCTCGAATCCAAATCCCTTCCATCTAAATGAGTTTTATATTCCATCACATTGATATCTCACTATACCTGGCGAAGTCCTTTGGCATTGAAAGGGGACTGTCGAACAATACGGTGGGTCCCTTTTTCACCTGATAAATATCCGTAAGCATATCGACCCACAATTTCAATAGTAGCCGATTTGATCCCAGCCTCTTCACCCATCGATTTTTCAGTCACTTTCGTCTTGAAACTCTGCTTCTCGCCCCATCTTACATACATCCTGACAAGCATTTCAGCCCAATCCTGCACTGGAATTTATCAAAAAAATTTAAAGAAAGATACATATTTATATGCAGAAATTTTTTGAGTACTTGCAACACCTTAAGAGAGTAACTCCAAATTTAAATGCACAATCAGAGTATTGTAATATTAGCAAGGCTAAACCCTCTGAATTACATAATCCCTTCTTTATAATCAATTAGGTGTTACCTGGGCATCAGTGCCCCCAGCGCCAGCTGTAATGCTGATAACCGCGCCTTCTTTATCGTAAGGTCCAGAGAGAAGTTGGGTCAATTCATATTGGTCTAATGCCTTCTTCAAATCTTTAATGATGCCAGCAGCTTCTTGAAAGAACCCAGGGTCAATTGAGTCCATCTCCTCTGTAAGCTTCACTATTGTTTCTGCATCTTCAACCTATTGCATATATGCTAATTTTAGGCAATTCTTTAAGCCAAACTGTATATTTTTTAAATTTAGTCCTCAAAACATGTTATGTTTACGATCCAAATTACGAAAACTCGTACTATCTTTCAAAATCACAAATCTTTAGAATGCTGCAAACACCCCCTTGACATTGATATTTACTTAAACAAAAAAACCCTCACCCATCTCAGCCCCCAATATAAAATGAGAACTGTAATTCGTGTAGAAAAAGAAAGGTCCAGAACTCCAGATTGTGTGATTAACCTTTAAATGATTGAATTTTTTAACAGGATGGAAATGAAAACCTGTGCTTTGAAGTCATTGAGAGTTTTTAATTTTTCTTTGACATCGGTCAAAGCCTGAAGTGTCTGCTGAGCTTTGACACGATCATCCCACAAAGAGCTATCGGCTGAGGCTTCCTCTAAATCCGCAATATTTTTTTCTAGCAGTTTCAGAACAGCAGCGGCCCTTATCTCCTCGACTCGCGCTGAGGTGGTTTCGACTTCTTTCCTTAAATTATAGAAATCTGCCAATAGTATAACCACAGCTTTAGTCTTTTTGTTGTTTGCTTGAATACAAAATTCTTAATGTGGAGATGCAGTGTAGATATGTGATAGCTTCCTTGCTTCTAAATAATCTTGCATGAGTATCTTGAGTTGCGTGAGGACGAGATTCAATCAAGTGCAAAGACAAACTATTTTATGCGGATAATAAAACTCTGTGATTTTTTCTTTTTTTTTTTTTCTTGAAAGAGTCGTCTTAGTAGGTTCTAACTGAGAAATTGGATAGACCATGAATAGACGACAGTTGAGATTAAACAGTATAAAAGGTTCGCAAATCCTGCCGTATATCTTGCATGTTCATACGTTGACCCAGATGCATATTAAATTTACCACTACAACCAAACTATATTGACCCTTCTCTTTTTCAAGAAAATATTTTGAATATCCAAGGTTTCACAGACACACACACACACACACATGATGTGAGTTACCTTGCATTGCCCATTGACTTTGTTCAGTACTAACTTCCACCTCGGGTGTTGCAAACAGAACTTTTCTTCCTTCAGTTGGCAATTCACAGGCATGATGAAAACCCAAAAAAAAAAGGATGATAATTAAAAAAGTGGAATGTAAATTAATTAAAACTGTGGTGGCATGCAGAGAAGTCGTAAAAGTGAGAAGTAACTCATAGAAACCATCAGCATCTGAATATAAAGGTACAATCTTGAATATCCAATAAAGATTGTGATGAGGAAAACAAAAATGAGTTTTGAGATTTATCCTTTTCTTCTAGTTTTGGAAGATTCACATCAAAAAATTAATTGGAGAATCACAGCGGATCCGAATGTGCTTCAATAGCATTTCATAAATTTCCCATCAAAGTGATCAAAGATAAAAGCTTTTGCAATGATCTAATGGCACGTCCGTACAAAAATTGAATAAAAATATGTGCTTTAAAGGTAGTATGAAACACGGTACCTTCTCATTGAACATATCTCAACAAAAGCTCGACATTTGAAAATTGTTCAACAATAGTAAACTAAACGAAACCCACCAAACACTTCACGAATATACGAACTCTGAATTATATAACTTATAAGAAACCAAGAATGTATCAGGTACAATTTTTCATACATTAGGAATTATTTAATCCTATTTTGCCTCAAAATGCACACTCTCTGTATACAGAAAAAGAAAAGGACTAACCATTTGGAGAATCACTTGATGAAAATTGAATGGGTGATGATCGCTGTGATGAATAATTACAAAAACAGTAACTTGAGAATGAAAGCCGCCGCGATGTCCGATGAAGTCTGAGAGCCGTGTGTTGGGTTTCAACTGAGATTAACGAATTTACTTTTTTCGGAGAACGAAATGGAAGCAGCTGAGGCACTGTGAAGCCGAGGGCAAGAGCAACGCCCGCCATTGGAGCTCCTTCAACTCCAGGTAAAGCCAAGAATATACCAAGATAAAGCCGCATTTTATCTTATGAGTTTCAACTGAAGTCGCCACTTTGGATTTCTTCTTCGTTATTCCTTCTATTGATGATTTGTTTATTTTCTACTTTGACTAACAAAATTAATTAGCATTTGTTAAATAAATATTTTCAATTATTTGTAGAATCACCATTATTTGTATTATTTCTTTGATCGTCTCTTTTTAAAATACTCTACTTTCTCTTTTTTTTTTTTTTTTTTTTTTTTTT